TGCTGGTGCAGGCAGCCTAAATCTAGGGCAGCAGGAATATATAGAGCACTGAAATGGATTACTGAAACTGAGCTACAGTTCAGAATATAGAAAACATAGCAGGAAGTCAGTGAGTAGATTTTTCTGAAATATATAAACATAAGGAAACGTCACTGGAAGAGTATAGGTGACTGAGGCTGCTCGCAAGCTATTCTGCTTGTATCTCACAGCTCAGTGTGCATATTGTGTTATAAATGCAGATGACCATGCTGATGTGAATTCAACATATGCATAAATAAGTGTTTAAAGATTTTGACCATGAGTGGTAGCTATACTTGGGAAAGACATGTCAGATTCCTGAAATGCCTTCTCAGGGTAAATCTTTACTCTTTTCTGGCTGTAATTCAATCAGTTCAATGTCAAGTTTCTTCTCTGCTGCAACCCACTGCAGAGACAATAGAGAAAGATGCAACTTCATCTTTTGGACCAGAAGTGTGTCTCTTATATATATATATATATATATATATATTTTTTTTTTTTTTTCCCATGGGATATATTGACCATTTCCTTTATTAGTTCATCAGTTCTGGTTACTTTGAACTACCTGTCAATGTTGAAAGGAAGCCAAGCTGTATGAGAGTCCATTTAGAACCACTTAAGGCACAAGCTGTAGATCTGGTCTTGACTTTGTCATCCATAATTGTTGGAGTTTCAAAGGGTTAGTTAAAACATGCATTTTTGTTGAGCTGTCCAAAATAGACTTTAGAGTAGGGTTGCAAATTCTTATTGATTTTTCTTTTTGAGCCCATTTTCTCCTTTCCCCTTAGCTGAAAGTGACCTTTAAAAAAAAAAAAAAAAAAAAATCTTCTAACCCACATGAAATTTCTCAAAGTGTCTTGGTTTTACTTTCATCCAGAGATGAACTTGCCATATTAGCTCATGCTTCCAAGATTGAATCTACTACTGATTTATCTTTGGGAATTGTAAGATGTAATCTTCCATTGTTATCAAAATGCAGCTTGTTGCAATGCAAGTCAAATGCAGCACTGCTGTGAGAAATGCCTAGTAAAACAATGATGTTGATTATTGTTTACATTAAGAATTCCAAGTCTGTCTTGGATAAATTTGGACAAGGAAAATTCTTTGAAAGCATATGCATGTGGTCTGTCATCCAAAGATTGTTTGCAACTGTCATGCAGGTACTCACTGTCCATGTGCTGGTGTGCTCTTTCCCCCATCCTCAACCTTTCCCTCTTCAACAGTAAGGTGCTCTGTTGAGGGGCAGTGCTGGCTATGTTTTGCCCTTACATGCTTTTGCTCTAAGTTGAAAGGCAACAAGACAGCTCGCTATATCACAGGGTATGACAAAAGGGAAAACTTATTTTGATTTCAAATGATAGGATATATGTGCGTGTCAATTACATCTTTCAGAGAACTTCAGGTAATGCTAAGTAATCTTTGCTTCATAATTGAAGTATCCTTTAAGAACATGTTTTCCCATCCTGGAACTTGGTGACAGATTGTACCTCAGCTAACTTTTGTAATATGCAACAGAAGCATCAGTCTTAGGGATGAACAGACTCCTTCAAAGAGTTTTGATTCATTCCTAGACAAGGTTCTTTGCGTGCTGGATGGTGACTGGAGACCTCTGAAAAATTACAATGGTTGTGTAGTTAAAGATGAGTGTAATACATATGCAGAAGTGTGTAAGATGCCAGTTATTGCATTTTCTCATTTTTTTTTAGCGTTGTAACACTGCAAGTATTTTTTGGCAGAGTTACTGTTTGTGTTTATAATTAATTAACAGGAAATTTGTAGACATTGTATTGTGAGACATTTTCAACGAATTGTAAGATATCTCAAGGTAGAAAGCTGAGACTCAGCTTCAGCTGAAGGTCCAGTTTTGCTTTGTGATCTTTCAAGAATTTGATCCTGTGTATGCATTTATAATTTTTTGCTTTGCATAACACAGAAACTTTGAGGAAGCCTATTCAATGGGTGAACTTAAAGGTAGCAGACAAACTGAGAGTTGATGTTATGGGACCCATTTTTTCTTAAGTTCTTATTGTTAAGCTGCTCTTCTTTCAAGATGAGAGCACTGTAAGAACAAAAATATGCTGCCATGTACAACTAACAGGAAAGGAGCTGTTGTCTGTGCAAAGCAAAAGTACAATCCAATTTTGGCAGACTGGACTTAATTTTCTCCTGGCTTTTGGTGATTGCTTTTTCACTAAATGCAGTGCCTTATAGCTGAAGGTTTTTTTTTTTTAATCTATGATTTAGGTCTTCAGTTTAGATCTTTGTCTCATTTAGGCCTGAGTAGATTTTGCAGACTTGTAGAATTATCAAACTGCTTTTCCAAATTTTTTTTAGTGTCCTTTATCATTCTGTAGCAAATATTTTGATTTCTGATCATGGTCCTATTACAAATCAATTTGCAGCATTTTCATGTGCTGCTGGGGGCCTTTATGGATTGTTTCCATTGCTGGGATTGTTTGGCGCCACATGGGCAATCTGACGAAACCATGCAAAAGGCAAAGCTGGGAGACAGAACTTCATCAATTCACAAAACCAAGAGAAACTGTTCCTGCTAAGAAATAAGGAAACGTCACCCTTTCTGTGTGTGCAGGAACACAAGGCTTCTTGGAAGAAATTACTGAATATATGAAGCAATATGTGCTGAGTTACAAGTCTAGTGGAATTAGAGCTCCTAAGAAAAAAGGTAGCAGCCCTTAGGAACTGGAATGTTAGCTCTGGTTTGTTTATCACCCATTATACAAAATCTGTAGTGAGCATGCATTATACTTAAGTATAACAAATTAAGTATACAACTTAAGTATACTTGTAAAAATTACTGAATTTCCCTTTACTTGATTTAGTTTGATGTACAGTGGAAAGTGTAAGAGCTTTGATTGACTGATCTTCCTCTGTCCAATGTAGGTGCAATTTCACCTTGAAAATATGTGGCAGGCTTGTACTCCTCTTTAAGGCCAGAAGAGTTCTGCATTCTAACAAATCTGCCCCGTATCATAGCCTTGCCTTTTGTTCCATGATCTTTTTCCCCCTTCCTTCTCACGTGTGTCCATTTGCACAGCTCCCTGGGAAGTTTTACAACAGGACCTTCCATAGATTTGCAGCTGCATACTTACAATATAACATTTGTGTTAGTACAAGCCAGTTGAAATCAATTTGTAGGCTTGGTCCTCTTCTGAACTCTTTCCTTCTGACTTCCAACACTGTAATCTTGGAAATGTTTAGATTTGGAATAAACTATCACTGTGGCAAAAACATCAGTCCTGCCTTTGCGCTCTCCTGACGCTGTTGGGTTTTTCCAGCTAAGCTCTCTGTGCAGTAAGCCAGATCAGGAGACTGATCTGACTGAAAAATACTTCCTCTACCTTATTTAAGATTTAAGCTATATGTTAACTTCATGTATTTTTCTCTTCCTAAAAAAACCATGGTTAAGTAACTTTGGAGCTCCTCACAGTACAGAATATTAAAAACTTAGAAGAAACAATTTGTGGTGACTATAATTCTTACTATTTTTACTTTGAGAGGAGTAATGTAGATCTTATTTAACACTCCTTAATGTATCACAGGAATGTGGGTGTTTTTTGTTTTATTCTTTTTAACATCCCGGGAACAATTTTCAGTCTGGCCTCATATTTTACAAATACAATAAAACCCTTCTAACCTGCTGCATATTGCAAAATATTGGATTGCCTTATACCAAAGTGAAGTATTTTGTTAGATATATCACTTTTAGATATGTTTGATATAACACTTTGTTTTTTTACCCACCCCCCAAGACTTTTAGACTTCCTGGGCATAAATTTTCTTTCATATGCTGTGTTGACACACATGTATTGATCCTTTTGGGAAGGTGAATGAATTCATTTTTAAACAGCATACGAACATTGGTTTTCTCAGCAGCAGTCAAAGCCCTTTGGGTACTGCTGCTTCTGGTATAAGGATTTTAATTTTTATTCCCCCAAGCAAGAGTATTATCTTGTTTTGACCAGCATGTGGAAAACTGTTCCGGGAATTTTGAGAACACAAGCGTGATACTGAAGGTTTTAGCATAATATTCTGAACTAAAAACCCTGTCAAGTATCTGTGATCTTTTACATACTTTTGGTTTGCCTTTTTAACGGTAGTGATGAAACTAAGAAAAGTAATGTTTTCTAAAAACTGTCTGACTACAATGGGAAGATGGGCCATTTTGTTAAGCTGTCCCACTGCATTCAGCACTCTAGATATCAGTGAGCCAGTCATCAGTAAATCTCCGTAAAATTTTTCACAAACTTTTTGAGAGTGGTTATTTTTACAGACCCATTGTATTTTTATTATTTTGTAATTACATGAAAACAGAAGATGAACTGCAGCAAAACAACAAAAATGAGATATTCAAACAATACAAACCCCTTACTCAGGTTTTTGAGTACCCTATTCTGAAAGCGTGTCATCTCCTATCTTATATTTTGTTTTGACTTGCTTCTAATGTATTTTTTTTTTTAAAGCACTGAGATTTGTGTTAGATGTATGAACAATATGTTGGTACTTTCTGGGGCAGATATACCTGCTGGTTTGTTGAGCATTGCTTGCTTCTGCTCTGTGTTATGGAAGCACTGTGACAGACGGCAGATGATAAAGCTGTAAAACAAATATATCTGAACTCTGAAGTAATGCCACTTCTCCAGTAGATACATTATTACATCTGTATTTCCAACTTACTTAAATATTAATATTTGCAATTAACTATTTTTTATATGTGTATTTTCAGAAATATTGCAAAACTTCTCTGTCTATGCTGTTGAGAGCAGTAGTTAAAAATAGAGTATAATTTTAACAGCTGTGGAGGCTTATCTTTATAAATTTCTTTTGTAATATAAAAAGAATGTATCAGAAAGAAAAATAGAACTGCATTTTGGAGTTCTCTAAAATGAGAAATGAGCCTGTGCTAGAAAATGATTAGTCTGTAACAGTCTCTTTCCTTTTTTTTTTATTTTATTTCCTTCTAGGACCGGAATAGGCCCTATGACACTTTTAACTTGCACTCTTTGGAAAATTCCTTAATGGATATGATAAGGACTGATCATGAGCCTCTGAAAGGTAAACACTACCCTCCCAGTGGCCCACCAATGAGTTTCGCTGATATAATGTGGAGGAATCATTTTACAGGTTAGGAATATTCATATGTCCATGCTTGCTTGGTTTTTAAACAAAAATCAGCTTTTCAGTGTTGCTATGAACTTTCTGCTAATGAATGAGTTGTCAGCTATGTAATACTTCTGTTTCCCATCTTAGGATAATCATCTCTATAGTAGGAAGATAAGGTGAAATGTGTATCGCTTGGTGTAAGTGCACAATCATAATATTATCTAACAACTGCCATTTCTGCAACTTTGTGCATCACCGAATTGCACTGTTCAGTTCACAGAATGAGTAGTATGAGGTGTGCAACTGGAGTCCAATTATATTGAAAAATCTTGTACAGCATTAATATTATTGTTGTTTACAGATCATCAGCTAATATACGGGGATCTGAAAGTGTCGCTGTGTCAAGCTTCCTCTCCATAATTATTTAAGGATGGTTTTAAAAAATGTATCTTGATTTGGATTTCAGAATGATAGGAGGCACCAACAAGTATTAGGTGTTGTTCAGCATTAAGAAAGTTTGCTTATTTATGCTACTGAAGTGTATTTGTTCTACCAGATGTAGCAGTGGAGATAAAAATTATTTCTAGTGTTTAGCTGATACAGAATAGTGAAAAGTTGCACAAGCATTTAATGAATCCTAATTGCCTGTCACAGTTCTGTCTTCATCTTTCATTGGTTACATTTCAAAACAGGAATACATTCTTGCTCACAAACTGCTAGTTTTTTTTCCTTGAAAGACTGAGGCTGATAGTAGGCTATGTGCTAGGGGACACTGAACTAGAAACAACTCCCAAACTTTAACATACTGGAACTGATAGAGAAGGAATTGTTTTGTATAATTCTTCCTATGCATACACATACCTTTCTGATGCAACAATTACCTCAAACATTCCAAACTTGGGTTAAAATTGTTGAGACTCTGTAGCTGTGCTTTCCTCAATTATTCTGCGCTATAGCCTTCATACTTCTGCCTTTAACTATTATTCATCTGTCTAAAATGGCAAGAAATATCCACATCTCTATTCTGATCGTATTCCTCCAACGTAAATGTTAATTTAAAAAAAAGTATATATATTGAGATTTCTGCTTTATACACATTCCGTGACTGGTATTTTCCATGTACATTTTAAAATGAAGTAAATTCATAATCAACAACAAAATTACTATGAAGAAGATTTAATTGTTCTATTGATTTGATTAGCTCAACACAAGTGTTTTTACTTTAAGTATAAATTTAAACATATGGATTGAAGCTGACTTTTTTAAAGGCTGAATTTTCGTATGATCCTGAGAATGAAAAAAGTGAGAAAGACTATTAGAAATTGTGTTACTCTAGAAAAACACTTTAAAATCATAGAAAGCAATATGGCCTTTATTATTGTCCCTGAACAACAGTTTTAAAAATGTTTTAGATAAGAGTATTAGCCAATGAAATAACAATGGTACAAATACTTAAGTATTTGGTCTTGTTGACTCATTCTATCACGAAGCTGAGTCCCTGTTAGTGTTGGTGCTTTGTTGTTGCCTCAATGCATGAGATAACATGAGATTCTTGGCTTTATTAAGCATCTTCTTGCTTTTCAATCAAAGTAGCTTTTTGAAAGTAAGTAAATAAATCATTTTCACCTCTTTGAGGTTGTTGACTTGTGTAGGAGGCTGTACAGCTTAACAAGATACTTGGAAGCAGTAGGAACAGTTTTCCCTGTACTCAAACCAGTAAACAAAGGAGTTGGGTATTAATTGTGAAGTTTTAGTTGATCTGTTCCACTTGCCAACAGGATTGTTACCTTTACTCTAAGGAGAGTTTCTGTCGCTTTCTGAATGTGATCTTCTTGACATATTTTCTGAGTGCTGCTCACCTGTTTCAGCCCTCCTGCCTTGTTACTTACTGCTCTTCCAGGCCAGTAACTTCTGGAGAATTCTTGTTTACTATTAGATCTCTGATTCCATCTCTGCCCAGCTGTTGTTTTCCCATTGATGTAGTTAATTCTTACCCTTGCTTTCATTTTCTCCTCCCTCCAAGTGCAGGAATGACTTTGCTAACCTCCAGCCTTCGCTTTACCTTGTGTGCACTTCCCTCTGCTCCAGTTCTCACACAGTGCAGTGCAACTGACAATGTTTGTAAGAGTGGCTGTTTCAGGACATGATCATTTTATTCTCCTACAAGTGCTTTCTTCCCCTGTGTTAAATAGCTCTGCAGTACTATTTTAACTGATTCCTTTTTGTTTAGAAACAAAAGCAATAACAAACAAACCTGCAAAATTATTCTGCTATTGCATTTTCATGGTCTTTTCAGTGAAAATTGGTCTTGACTCTTGTCCTGCATCTCCAACTTTCTCCTCCACATCCACAGACAGTGTTTTCAACTGTCCTTCTCTGCTCCTCCCTCAGATTTCACTTCACTTTGGCTTTATTCTTATCTATCCCACACTCCTCTTACTCTCACACACTATCAGCACACTTTAGTTTGAGAACATAACTGATCAACTTTGCTTGCATTTGCTTGTTTCACCAGCCACTGCCCCATTTTTATTTATTTTGATCTCTTAAGTTTTTTGAATACTGTGTTTATGTACTTCAGTTTGAATTTTCAGTTCCTCATAGGCATTCCTTTGTGAATGCTTCTTTGCTAAATTAAAACTGCTACTTCTGGAGTTTTAGTAATCGGCACTTAGATCTACTTCTGCTTTGCTTTGTCTTTCATAGTGAATTGTGTGTTTTAAAATTTTCCCTTCCTCTAAGATCTGTGACTGTCTTTTCTTAGATTTTGCACAGTGTTTTCATGCATGTGTAGAATGTAAAACAACCACAAAATAAGTAAATAATAATAAATAAAATAAAATAAAAACACAAAAAGCAGAACCACAAACAGTGTTCATTTTTTGGTAAATGAGCTTTGTTTTCTCAAACAGTTTTGGCTATCTGCACTTACAAGTCAGTTGACCTTATTAGTTGTTTTAATATTTACTTTTAAAGGTTTTTAAATGGAAGAAATAAGGTGAGAAATGGCAAAAGCCTCTGCCTTGGAAAACATGGGAAGGTTTCATTCTAGAAAAGCTATACAGTCTTAGAACCTTTAATGCAAGTTACAAAGTCAGTGCAGCTATTTCAGGATCATTCCAGCCTGCTGCTGTCAACAAATATCTATTTATGAAAGTATTCTGTGTACTATTTATTAATTAGTGGAATATTGCCAGTGATTTATCTGAAGTTTGAAACATTGCTTAGATCATAGCCCCTCTTGGCATGTGTGCCCCCACCCTCCTCTCCCAACATCTTAACAGACACTTGAACCAAGAAAAAATCGTTATGTAACAAGGGCTCTTAATTAGAATATGGATAGGAAAGTTAACAAGGAAAGATTCTGACGTGAAGAGCAGACTGAGATGGTTCTGGTCTCTTGTTATTTCTGAGTAGGTCAGTTCTGTGTGCTCCACTTTGTTCAGTGAGGGAGAAGTTCAGGGCTGTGAAAGGAAGTCTGTCCTCTTATTTATAGTAGTGGAAGCTTCATTGGATTTAGAGGTGTATATGATCAGATTTTGTACTGCAGGCCATGAAAGTCAACAGTTTATTTCAAGGTTGTTGAAGCAGGTCACTTTTCTCAAGGCAGGATCTGCTTGGCTTTGAGATAGCATGTGATTTGGTGGCTTTTTTTAGTGTTGGTGCGACTATGGAATAAGAGAAATGCTGGAGGATTTTAGTGCAACAGAAATGAAGTGATCCTTGGTCTCACAATATTCAATTACTTGACAGAGTACAAATTCAATCTGATTGGCAGGCTTGCTTGGTCCTCTCCAGCTAGGGTCACTTAGTTCTCTTTGGGTGTTTCATGCTGTAAGAGAGATTTGATATCTAACTCAGAGGTTCCTGGACTTAGGTGAATTAACAGCTTATCCTTCTATGTTGCAATTTATCTTGAGCCCAGCCTTGGAAGTTTTCCAGCATCAGCTCTTGCTGTTTTTCTGTCTGAAACCAATTCCTCTCCCCTCACCCCCAGCTTTTCCTGCCAGATAAGAATACCTTGCTTGTAGGGTTCTTCCTCACTCTGGGAGCTGTGTAAAGACTGTAAACTCTCTATAAAGAAGTTTCATTTTCTTCCTCATCCAAGACACTCGGGTGGACTGCCTTGCCTGCTTTCTCTGCTGTCAAATTTTTTTTCAATGTTTTTTTCCTCTTTCCATCTATATTCAAAAGATTTTTCACTTTTTGTAAAAATGAGGGAAAAATTAGGTAAAAGGTAGAGCAAAAGGACTGATGAGGTTCCTCTGGTTAAAGATAAATTACTGCATATGACCAAGGACATCCGGCTTTGTGTCAGCCATGACCCAGCCTATGTGGCAGAAGCAGTATTTTGAGAAGGCTTTTTCTGAGTTGCTTGTCTTATTTTTCTGAGCTACCAATAAAATATACAATACCAAAACACAGAGAGATCTTTATTTTTTACAGAGGAAAAACATATTTGCAATAGTTCATAACCTGTTGGTATACATGTCCTGCTTCTACCTAATTCACTTTTGCCTTACAGTGTTATCAGAATGTGAGTAGTTGCTACTTATCAGTGGCTAAAATGTTTCTTTCTTCAAAAAGTTCTTTCTTCAGTCAAAGTCTCTCCTATGGTGTAATATGTCACTGTTGCAATATGTTTATCTGTGTCAAAATATTACATTGCAACACAGAGACATTCTAATCTATTAGATATATTTTGATCAGTAGTGACTAGCAGCTGCCTTTGTTCTATTTTTAAATAATTAAAATATTTCATCTGTTCATATGTTATGCACATGTGCTCCCACAGATCACGAAGCTGAATCAAAATATGAAATTGAGGGGGGACATCATAGCCTTGTTAAACATTTGTTTTTAATATTTACTTTTATGGTGGAATAACTGTAATATCTGTCTTTTTTCCTAGTAAGACATTTTGCAATATGCAAATCTCCAAGTAAGCAAAAATTTGGAGGTTTTATCCAGTAATGGTTGATGTATCTCCAAGTATGAGTATTTGGAGACAACACATGTAC